GGGGGGGAGGGGTGTCATGCCTTTGTCCATCTTAAGTAAAAACTGTATATTGGGGAGGAGGGTGAGTTGGGAAAGAATATAGACATCTAAATCAGTTCATTTATCCTCTATGTAGAAGTCAACTTGTTATGAGTACCCGGCCACTGTACCAGTCAGGAAAGCTGTATGCTTTTATCTGCAGAAATGCAACCGGAACGTAAGTATTAAAGAAAATATGTCACTAGGGTTAAAGTAAAATCAAGCCATAGTCAGCAGGAGGATTACAGAATCTGCCAATGTTAAATACAACTTTTTTAAAAATGCCTGGGAATATTATCAATTATTTAATATAAAGCCAAGTTTCTTAAATTCTAAACAATGTTTTAAAGGGTTCATCAACTACTTGTTTTGTAGCCCGCAGCATTTTGCGTTTTCCACTGGTTTGAAATCCGATCTTGCACTTGTTGAGTCTCAGTTTCAGGTAAAACAGAATTTCAAATACAGAAACATGAGTTAGTAATGCTATAAGAAACTTTTTAAAACATTCTAAGACTTACATCTGTATCCATTAAAGAATATCACCAAAACCCGTATTTTTAATTTTCCAGGAAATGCCAACAGGTACAGCCAGCCATCGTAAGTGCAGTACAAGGTAATGTTTCCTCCTCTGCAGAATAAAAACCCAAAAAAGCAACAAAAAAAACTGAATTACTGAGAGGTACTGCTGTTACAAGATGTAAGATAGTGCTTCAGCATAACATACAGAAGTACTTGCAGCTGCAGAGCAACTCAACAAACTTCCCTGTCACATTTATCAAAACACTTTCAGATTCCAGCTTAAAGCAGGTGAAACCATAACAAATATTGCACAAGGACTGTTTATCTGTATCCAAGGCATTTGAATAAAGTGTTTACATAAATCAGTGTAAACTTATTCTTTCTTGACACTTCCACTTTTACAACACTTTACTTTGAATTCTGACAGGGTTTGATGTGGCATACCATTTTGGTTTTGTCCACACACTGGTTTTACAGCAAGGCAAGACTTAAAAGGAGCAAAGTGCAAACACTGTTAAAATGAGCTGGGCAGGTCAGGTAATCAAAAAATCACATTATGGGTGTTCAGTAAACATCGGAGGTGCCTGTGGTTATGTGGAAAATATTGATGCACAGGGTATCTTTTCTGGGTGAACGAAGCAGGGACAGCTTCACTATCACAGCAGCAGTCTGTGCATCTCAGCAGAGACGATGTGTTCATGGTATTGGAAAGACAGTGTTGTAAATGTAAAACCAAAGGGATCTTCTCCATGTATATTTTTTAAAGCCGCAGGTAGTACAGCTGCATAAATACAATAGTTCGTACCTGCAATTGAGTAAGTAAAATACAGATTATCAAAAAAAGTGTGGTTTGGATCATCCAAAATGATGCACATTAAAAGCTACTTCAGGATTAAAATCCAACAGCACATCACAGTGCAAGCTGTGCTAGCTGCAACGTTGACAATGTCACCTAAAGTGGGCCCAGCCCTTCCCACTTTAATATTCCATTTCAGTTGCTTATGGCCAAAATATTTGATTTCATAAACTGTCAGCCGTTTTGACCAGCATTTTCAAAGCTCTGTCCCTTTTCTTTCAAATGCCTTAAGTTTTGGAGTAAGAGTTTCAAATTTTCCAGGATTATGCTGGTGATAAGAATGTGCCTTTAGCTTTTCCTCCAGAAATCTACTTGTATTTAGCCAGGCTATTTGTATAAGGAGCAAGGGGAGTATATGACTTAAAAAATCGTATTTTTCACACCCTCAGAACTGTCATGTAAACAAATCGAGTTTTGCAACTGTTTTCTAACCAAATTTCCCAAATATGCTAAATGTATTGCGTATGATCTACTATTTAAGTAGGACCTAATCCGAAAATGAATTTTTGATCTAAGCGTATATGGACACTAAAAGAAGGAAGTCTTCTCTCTCATGTTTCAGATTGTCTCCATGCATCTTCTACTCCTGGAAGAGCTAACATGCATCCTTACAAACAGACAAACTCATCATTTTTCCACTGCAAAAGACTAGGAGAGGCAGCATTTCTAGAGCTGAATAGTGATTACAAACATCTAAATATGTTAATGTGGTATTACTAAGATGTTAATTGCCACAATATTTCAAGGTTTCCTCACTCAGATTTATTTTATAATAGCTGAATGCATGATGCTCAAAAGAGTTCTGGCATCTAAATTATCTGCAGAGCACATTAAAGCTGTATTAATTCTCTCTTCTGGACACTGTTTCCCTCTATGAAGGAGATGCACTTGTTCATAATCAACACATTTTTACATGAAAATTTCCTAGCTTTATTCAGCTCCTACTTCTACCACAAGAGGGAAGGGGAAAGTGGTGATTATTATTGAATGCTTGACTGTACCAACAGTGTTTCTTCAGAGTAGTTTTTGGGTTGTATTCACCTATAGGGAAATAAATAAAGCTACCAGATTGCCAGTATTTTCCTATACCAAGTCACCCTTTTCCTTTAAGAGGAACTTGGCCGTTGGATTTGGGATTCTTGCTAACTTCCAGCTATTGATTCCAGATTGTTTTATCTTTGCATTGGACTGGACATCATAATTCCTACTTGCTAATTTGCATCCTCGGTCAGGTTAAGTTTCCTACCCCAATAAATGTGTGTAAATAAATTTATCATTTCTTGTAGGATTTTCAATATTGGAACTTTATCAGTAGCATTATCAGATAATTTCTAGGTATTTGTGTCCCTTGGAGAACAAGAATTTATGAGAGCCCCATCTTTATGCACACAGGGGTGTGGTGACTCCATTAGCTTTCTTTCCAAACAATGGATTTCCTATGAAGGTAAACTTACACTCAAGAACAGCCTGGTCTGGTTTACAGCCTGCAGTAGAAATGTGGAACACTTTATCTGTGTCTTATAGGGAAAATAGTATCACCTTTTCCAATAACAACCCCAGCTGTCCTCTCTCTCTCAGCATTGTCTTTGCAAATGGTGTATGCACATACTTTCAAAGGATGGTCAGCCAATAAAAGATCTGCCAGAGAAAGACGGTCTGTAGCACCAGCCCAGTATGTCACATGAAACTCTGCTGAGTTCTGGACATAAATACTTCTGTAAGCCAAAACCAGACAAGACAAACACATTTTATTCAATTAAGCTTTCATTAAGCTTAATTTATTTTGCCTTTGACTAATTTCTGTAAATCTCTTATTACATCAGTAGCTGCAATTGAAATAGTTCTTAAATGTCCCAAGGGCATTTCATTGTTATTGAGTCTACCAGTATTCAGCGCAAATGGAAAACCAGCTAATAAGCAAACAAAATCAATTTATCAGTACCATTTACTTATCAGCTCATTCTCAAATCACATGTCCCACATGTAACTTGAACGACCAGTTTTTCTTTCCATTAGCAAGTGCATTAAGAAAAAGGATCTACCTCCCAGAAAGTACCAGATAAGCCAGCTACTGTATCCTACTTGGAAATTTAATAGTGATAGGCAGGGCCTGCAGTTGAATTTCATTCCTGTTTCTAGCAGCATCGGCACAAATCAAAGACTGTGGCTAACAAGCAAGTATAAAGCATGACTTTGTATCTCATAAAATAAAATAACCTCCACACAGTCATAAAATATCTACCAGAAAAGAAATACAGCCTTCGCTTCCACCAGCAGGAACTAGAACGAGCCCTTCTCCTACAACTGAGGGAAAACATCTACTTGTAGCTCTGGAAATGGGTCTTGCTACAGTGACAGATGTACACAGAGCTTTCTTTCTTACTTATTAAACTCCATTATCCCTGGAAAAAACTCCAGCTGGTTCAAAACATACCAGGCTCTTTGCTGGGAACGAAGGGCTGTTGGGAGCAAAGGGCTGTTGTGAGCACGCTACTCTGGCATGCCCGTCGGTGTGGGTTCTCTGCCAAATGCCAAGGTTGTTCAAGGTTTTGCTTCTAACATCCAACATTCCCACTTGGTGGCAGCTCCCTGGGTGTCCCACTGTAACCAGGAAACTGTCAGCTAGTGAGGAGAAAAAAGCTTTTGTCGGTAATGCTCAGTCACTGCACTGTTACCAGAATTCTTTTGATAATCAATTACGCCTAACCTTAAAGAAGGTAAATAAGATTCAGTATAGTTAGGAAAGCCAAATTACCCAGACTTCTCTAGTAATTTTGAAATGTTGCGTAATATGAAGCACTGAAACTGACTTTCATCACTAACCTTTCACCTTTCTTGAATTAATATTCAAGTGATGACTTCATAGCATCTCTGACAAACAGCCAGATACACAATTACTGTTTTTTAAAATCTGATAGATCTCAGAGTAAGCATTTAAACATTGTTTAAGGCAGTTTTGCTGAGCTCTGCTCAATTACGCCAGATTAAGCTGGTTTGCTGCAATGCCTTCTAGCAACACAAAATGCAGTAGAGCGCTCTCCAGTTTACAACCTGGTTACTACCAAAGGCAGTTACTGATTTGGCCATTGCTGAAAGAGGGCTAAAACCCCCGTTTTGCCTTCTGAGCAAATCTGTGTTTGACTACTGTAGTAGTGGTTTATTTGTAGTAATAATAAGCTATCTACTCTATGCAAACTTTTTTCAATTCTGAAGTAAAAATTGAATACGAAGCTGGTGCATGTGTGAGATTGGAATTCACCTTATCTAGAATGGTAGCACAAAATTCTCATTTGCACGGGGAATCTAGGAAAAATTGCTTTATTAATTATGCCTAAAAGCATGCAGTATGTAGGTGAGGATTCCTATCTCATAAGGACTCAAAATGGGTGAGCGTCTTTTTGTTCTTTTCTCTTCCCATGTATACTCCAGGTGGTAGACTGAACTAGAAACACACATGTAGTCTATCTAGTCTTACAATAGCAAAGGCAAACCAAAATTAGTTATCAACTCCACCTAACTGAATTTAACTTTGCAGGGTGACCACAGAACAGCTGATAGGTGGCAACATATTTTACACTGTCCTCTATCATGGTTAGTGCAGCAGAGCAATCTTACACAGCCTACACGGTACATAGTTGCATCACGTTCAAATGAGACTCGGTATTTGTTTGAACTCTACGAGTTGCCTCCAGGGAAGGGTTGAAGACAGCACAGCTCCTCTGTCATTGGAGACATCAAGGATGAAAAGTTTATATAATCTTCTAGAAACATATTTTAAAACAAATTATTATTTCCTTTTGATGTTTCTGTTTCCTGTTGATCCTACAGCCAAGTTCATATGCGATAGCAGAAATACCATGACAGGGAACTGGTGAAAACTGACGTGTGGAGATACAGCTTAACCACAGATCTTGGAGCAGCAGGATTTATACAGCAGGTTTTAATCATTCCAGGGTTCCTCTATAGAAGGATAGTCACTATCCAGGATGGCTTCAAACCTGTAATAATTGTGATAAACTTTGGTTTTTTATTCTCTGTTTCACACTTGTATAACACAAAACTTTACACAGATAAAATAATGCAATTAGAGAATCAAATAATAAATTGTATTATTATGAAGTACATATACATGTATTTCTACCCAATGCAAACATATCAGTCAAAACCCAAAAAAAGATTTGAAGGCATAAGCAACTAAGGAGCATTTTCTAGAGGCAGAGTCCTAGAAGGTGACCAACAGTTTCTTTCTTTCAGAAAGAAATGTGTGTGCCCATTGGGCTGACATTATATTCTGTACATCTA